GTTCATTCCATACTCCTAAGCCTGACAATCAATCAAATCGAAAATTCTGCAAACAGGAAATATAAACCGTGAACAAGAACAAGTTCACCATTGATACAAAACTGTTGAATTAGCTGATCCACGAAAGACGGTATGAATTCGAGTGTAACAATCTTTACTTTTTTTCGACCCTCATTTCACAAGCATTGTATATAACATAGTAAAATATCAAATGTTCTTAAATATTATAAATAAAACCAAGTTGCTTTGTCGGTGAGGCACACATACACTTGTCCACTTACTCATACACTCAGATACGCACGTAAGCACGCGAGCACACACGCACACACGCACGCACACGCACGCACACGCTTACACACACACACACATACCTAATACTTCTCAATACAGAGATTCTTCATTTCTTTTAGAACTGATAAAGGCTACAAGTTGTCCTTACTCTTGTAAGTTAAGTAAAAGACAGAAAGCTGTCCCCTACAACGTCATAAACCCTCAAAATGTTTGCCTTAAAATGCTTCTGGAAGATTTCTGTACCCTCAATAATTTTTATCTTTAGTTAAAACATTATATTTCGAATTTTCTTTGTTGAATTCGCTTGAAAGATGAATTCAAATGCAAGTGTCAAAGCCAGTACCGTTAATTTACATTTCTTACAGTTTTATTGTTATCTCATTCAGACACAGTCATTTTCAGATTCGCATACGTTGGCTGTGGGGAGTCTGGATCCTCTCTTCCAGGCAACTCCGGAGGTAGTTCTTCAACATCAGCATATATCGTGGGCTCATAGCTGGCTGGTTTTTGTGGTTTAGTGGCGTCAGTTTTATTGTCAAAATTGGCGAGTTGAGCGTACACAAGGTCTCCCTCCTTTCCCTTGAATTAAAATTAAAATAAAAATCAATTAATAGGCAACTCTACCTCACCGATAAGTCATTCATGGATCACGTGAGATTGTGCGACCTGCCAGCTCAGCTCAATACGTTCTTGCTTAGCGAAGCGAACAGAGGTGTTGTTTCACCTCCCTGTCTGTGTTCGAAATTGAGGAGAACATTACGGCTACAAAAGCTATACCGTGAGAACGGAAGACTTATCGGAAGCTTTTTTTATAAGCGTGGCCGATATTGGTGAAATCACCAAAGAACCACCAGCAGTGGTACGGTGTGTGCAGATTTCGGAGACATGGCGGGAAAACCTGAAGCCGTGTTTCTAGAGCCAGAAATTGTCAGCATAAAGGGGAAAATTCCCAATCGTGAAAAAAATGGACCACAGTTAAAAAATCACCAGGCCTAAGAGCAGCAACGTGACTGAAAAACCTATAGCCGAGCGAAAGCAAAAAGCAGGCAAGACGAACAGGATACGGCGAGTTCATGCTCCAGCGAAAAAGCGGACTGTATAAACGCCAAAATTGTATCTGACCCGACATCAGCAACTGGCGACTTCCCGAAGTTTTCTTTGCACGACACATTAGTAGCAACAATGAAAGCTTTTTTCGATCAGCTTACGTATATTTTGCTTGAAGAGAAAGCTCAAACAAGTAGAAAAAGGCAAGCAGTCTCTGGGGAGTTAACAGATAGCGACCACATGTTTGATTCTGGGGAGATAAAATCAATCAAAGCAATGTGCTCCCGCGTTAGCGGTGATACTTTGAGGGACTCTGGTCCTGTGAGCGATGTTGAGGGAGATATTAACTCACTTATTCAGCAATCCACTTCCCTGCCAGAGTCTTCGCTTGGCGAGGAAAACGAATTAATTCTCGGAGCAATTGTTCAGGAGTACGATATGGACGAGAAGTGGGGACCTCTAGTAAATGAAAAGGTTAAGCTGGCCGCTATTGTAAAACAAAATGGCACGATCAAAGCTTGTTAATGACAAGTTGAAGGAGAAGCTAACGCAGTATATTAGGCGCAAGAACTGCGAGAAACTAGTGAGAACGAAAGTAAACGGAGAAATTTGGGCAAAGATGAGCCTTGCCACTCGGAGTCGAGATCTAAAACTCCAAAAAATCCAAACTACGTTGTTGAAAGCGACGACGGTCTTGACGGAAGTCACTGATAAGTTCTTAGAGTCAAAAGATCAATCAAAGAGCTCGCTTATTGAAGCGACAAAATCAGTTTTTGATGCAATTGCATTGATAACACATGCCAACTATAACCTTTAATCACAGACACCATGACCTCATTAAGCCAGACCTTAATAGGTCTTATCAGCAACTCTGTTCAGAGAGGATAGACCTGACAGAAAAACTTTTTAGGGATGACTTTCCCAAAAAAATCAAAGATATCATCACAACCAACAAGGTGGGCAATACTTTGACAGACCCAAATGGGAAACACACGCGGCCGCATCGTTCAGGCGGCTAAGATGTCCGACATACGTATTTTTTAAAAAACGGTGAACAGTCTGGAGGGAGATTCACCACCTGTAGAGGAAGTGTTACATTTTCTAACTGAACTGTTGGAGGCTAACTGTGGCTATAGTGCTCTTAATATTGCAAGAAGGTGCATTGTCTACATCTATTGTCTTGCCTGGAAACATTTTTGTGGGGAATCACCCTCAAGTCACAAGATTTATGAGAGGCGTTTTCCAGTCAAGACCCACATTCCATAAGTATACTGAAATCTGGGATGTAAACGTCGTATTATCTTATTTAAAAATTCTGAGTCCCGATGCAAAATTGTCCCTACAAGGTCACTGTAAAGTGTTGTGTTGTAACTCAACCATTTATTTAAGACCAAAGTAAGACATACAGCAAAACGGCGGGAAAGATACTGCAGGTGACAATTCACGCTATGTAAACAACGCGTGACCATGAAATTGTCCCATTATGTAAT